CAATATTGCACTTGACGATTGCTGCTATGCCAAAGAAGCCAGATTCAACAACACACCAATCACACTACAACCAATAAGACTTTCCAATATCAAATTGGACGATTTACAGTTTGCGAATCACAAACTTGGACAACTGGACCAATTGCTGGATGAAGAATTGAAGAAGCCATTTATTATCCAACACTCTCATTGGTTCATTATCATTATTTCTTTTATCGCGTCAGTTGTTCTTTTGGTAATAGTGTACAATTTTCTTAAGTGGTGCGGATTAATATCAAGCATTAAAAGTATGTTTTGTTGTACTAAAAGCCCAAAGCACATATCGGTGTATTAAGCTTTTCAATACAAATATAAATACCACTCCAGGGACAAGTCAAAACATATCAAGAATTCTAGAAGAAGAAGCCAGAACAAAAATGGGCGAAGGGATTGAACTAAATAACCTTCTAAGTTCCAATGAAGCAACCACATCCACTACGAATTCCATGTCCATGCGAAGATCAGTCACCCCAAGACCGTCCATAAAAATGTCTTAGTAAAAGATATGTTTGTATATTCTTAGGTATAAGTTAGTTTACATTTTTTTTTTCTCTTTCCTTTTTATTCCTACCTTTATATTAAGTTAAGCTTCATATTATTTTACGTTAGTTTTTTATAATTGTATTTCTTAAAGGATTTGTTTTGAAGAAATTTCTTTATGAAAATTTCTTTTTTTTTTTCAAGGGGGGAAGTGTCATATTCCTCCATAATATCATGACATTGTACCTTTTACGACCCTCGAATACTTTCCCAAATAATGTCTCGCCGTCGCCGAAAGCAATATTATTATATGACCCAGATTTTCTGTTAAAGAACCCAAAGATATTGTATGTAAATAAATTAAACATTTGTCCACCATAAACCCCAAAATTCCCAAATATCCTTAATGGTCATTCTTTGGGCGAACAGACTGTCATTTATTGCCAATATTTATTTAGGGTTTTCCAGTTGTAATTATGTAGGTTTTAGAAACGTTTTAGAAGGGATGTAAAGGTCGATTTGTAAGAGATCTAGTGAAGCAAGAAGACAGTCTTAAGACAGCTTCAGTCGTAGTAACACATTTTGTTAAAACTCTCTCTAAAATAAGTCTTACTTTTGCTGTAGTTCAATTTCATTCTATATTCCATTACCTAATAAAGCTACAAGTTTCAAACCAAAAACAAAAGTAGTTTTAATCAAGGCAAAACACTGAAGGATCACAACAGTATTCTACGATAAAAGTATCGTAAAACTGATACAGTCAGATAAACTTTATAATAATATTGTTATTTAAGCAATTGTTCTGAAGGCTATATAACAATAGTATTTTATAAGGGTTTTATTATTATCGCAATTACTTCAGATATACCGACACCCACGCCACCTAGCACCATGATCTGAAAACAAATAAACACGATTCAGAACAGGCGATGCGACGTTGTCAAACTGAATATATTATCTTCAAGTATCCAGAATATTTATTTGAAATTCAATAAGAATTATTAAGGGTTGATTATGATCGAATGCCCTAGACAAATACGCAAACACATGAACCGTTACAAGTTACTGTCTATATTAGGTAGGTACTGTAACCCTGCTGGTAAACCACAGTGAACTAAAAATTAAAATACAGAGAAGGTATAATCTATATACCTACCTATTTAATATAATTCAATTAAAAACTTGTTGCAATTGTTACGGTGTGGCCAAAAACTCTAATCAAGTACCTATGACTATTTTCTTCCAATTTTAAATTCCAACTTTCTTGATTCAATTCTGTCGGCCACGAGTTTTAAGTATGATTTTTTATAAATGAAGTTCGAAAGTTACTAGTAACTTTTGATTTTCATCCATTCAAAATTGAAAATATATAAAGGTACACGTTTGTTCTTGACATGGCAACATTGCAATGTCTGGAATATTATAATAGTTTTACGCTATGTCATTTTAGATAATAAAATACAAATGTTTTATGGAACTACATTATAAAACACGTTATAAATCAAATATGTTTTATAAATATCAAATTTGTTTATTAAACATTTTCTTGGCGATAGAAATGATATATTAGTCGACGCCATGTTTTCACGTTTAATTTCACTTAGTCCTATGTCGGCCATTTTATCGTATCCAAAATAAATTAAATAAAATAATATAATTTAGAAAATTGTCGTTACTAAAAGAATAAAATCAGTTCACAATGACATAGGACATGACATAATGTCGATTTTCAATTTCACGGATGATTATTGGAGACTTTCGTGAAATTTAAATATTTTTTTTTAAGTGTTAAACCTTGTTAAAATTGAAGCGCGTTAAAATATCTCCAAAAAATAACCCCCAATTGATCAGTAAAATTTCCTTCGCAGTAAGATTTGAGTGATTGAACGGTTTTTAGGTGGGTTATATATTTTTCCTGATTAACCCATGCATTCCTAGCAACATGTCGCCATATTCGTAATCCATAAAAGCAGAGAAGGTTGGACAACTATTTAAAAATCAGTTTTGTATTCGGCATTATGAAAATACGATAAAATATTTTCATTAAACTGTTTTAAGTATGCTATAAAATATTATTTTATAAATGTTTTATTAGTAATTTCAACTACAGCTACAAAATTTCGAAATAATATTTATAAAGCTGTTTTATGCTAAGCTTCACAAAAGACACAATTGCTATATAGGTGAATTTATCTCCTAACTTATAAACCTCTTATAAAACTGTTTCATAACGATTTTATAAAGCACTTCTTAATATTTTGTAAATGCTATTCGCGATCCTAAAACAACTTTAAAACAATAATAATATTTTATAAATCTGGGCCTTTTTCATACTTATAGACGTCATATAAGCGTTTACAACCCAACTAAGAAATATCGCAGTTATATAGTAAGATGTTTTATAGCAATGCATATGATCCTAATAAGCACATTTGTGCTACTTGGGAAGGTTTCTCTCGGGACATTGCAGACTGAACAAACACCTACATAATCTGGGGTTGGAAGAAGGTAACACTTGTAGATTCTGTGAAGACGGTGAAGAAACACCTCACCATCTTCTGTTGAACTGCGATGCCGTAAGCCGCTCAAGAATGAAGAACTTGAGAAGTCCTCTTATACAGCTAGAAGACATTCCAGCCCTGGAACCGCTAGACATCCTAAAATTCCTAAAGGATCTAGGACTAGAGGGGCTGCTTTAAGTAGGAAATCCGAACTTAGCAACAGAAGGAGGGGTACAATAGATCAACCTTGGTCGCAGTACAACTGACACCTCCAACACATACATACATACATACATATAAACATGTATGGGGTGAGGGGAGCTGTGCTGGATGTCTTCGTGAGCTATCTGACGAATAGAGAACAAGTTGTGAAAATTGGCACGATTCACAGCAATCGTTTAAATGTAAAGATAGGAATTCCACAGGGAACAGTACTTGGTCCAATTCTCTTTATTGCCTATATATTCTCTGACGAATTTATTCATAGAAAACGGTTCGTTGATATCATACGCAGACGATACTGTTGTGATTTTTTCGGGAGATACTTGGGCCCAAACCATCAGGGATCTGGCAACAGAAGGTTTATTAAGGGTGAAACACTGGTTGGACTCCTTTAAACTCACTTTAAATGTAGATAAGACTCATTACATAGCTTGAAACTGACCTCTAACATTCGAAAATTAATACATAAATTTTATCTTTAATAAGGTATGGCATAATCGTGTGGGGTGGTTTATACAGAAGCTCTCTGAAGCAGCTTAACGTAGTGCAGAATTATATATTGAAGGTTATATATAGGAAAAAAAAAAGAGGTTTTCAACTGAATTATTGTATTCTGATGAAATATTTGATGTTCGCTCCTTGTATATCTTGTTTTCATGTATTTATGTTCATAAATCTTCAGATCTAAAAAAAATTATAAATCATTCTTATGAAATCAGAAATAAAATGAATGGGCATTTAGTTTTGCCAAATGTAAATAAAAATATAAGTCATAGGTATATTGGTTATCTGGCGCCAAAGTTTTATAATCTGATCCCAGGTAAAATAAAGCAGATATCGAACATTAGGCGATTTAGCAAATGTTGCAGAAGCTTCATTTATGAGAATGCTCCTCGATTTGGATGGTTCAGGTGATTGTTGGTTGTTGGTGTTGGAAAAAAAATAAAAAGAAATATATATGGAATATATAAAAAAAAAGATGGAAATATGTATGTTATTATTACTACAAGTTGATTTGTTTGGTTGTTGAATTGTTTTAGTTTTTAGTATAGTTTAAGTTAGATTAAGTATGGTATCAAAACTATTTTTCATAGGTACTATATTTTCATTTTACATTTTTACATCCAGTGTGTTTTTCTTTGAGAATTACCGTATGATTCTATGGGCACATACAGCTAATAATTTGGCTAGGTGCACAATTAAAAAAAAGAAATGATTAGCTATATAAGGAATTATTGTGATATATTATAAAACTGTAAATTTCACTCCATAATATTGCTTAAATATATTATTATTATTATATTCAACTAGGAAAAACGTTATGAGACCTGAAATTTGCTTGATGTAAACATTTTATTTACTACAAATTCAAAATTTGATGAGGACAATTAGTAAAACGTGGTTAATTTTTAATGAAAATTCTTATCTATTATTGCAATATAACACAACAGGTACCTACCAAAAAACTACTACCTCTACTGTATATTGAATAATATATTTAAGGACAATTCTGTATTATCATTTGATTGCATGAGGATCTTTTCCCTGATTAGTCAACATAATTATTACCTATTAGACTACGATACTGAAGAAATTAATTAAATTTCCAGTAGGCGCACCCATTAATGGTATTTTATTGTTCGAAGGTGTCGCAAACGTACCACATTTTCGACAATCAAAGAAAGTATAACGCAATAACCAATTAAATATCTATGTGATTCTAATAATAATTAATAATAAATGGCATTGAAATTTTCGAAAAAAGTTCCAGATTTTGAACTATTGACTTGAGGAAGAGATTGCATTTGGTGTACAAGGTTTTGAGATTATAAATTTCATTGTTAGTTCTAGTTGTAGGTTTTGGTGATGAACACCCAAAAATGGTAAGTGATTAGTTTTTTTTTTTCAAATTGAACTTAAATAATTATATTCTTGCAGCAACATCTACTTCTACTAAACGCCTTGCTCTTCACCTTTATTTCAATCAGCTTCACTTATCCATGTAGCTCCTCTATAGGATCAGACTGTTGTTCAAAATCGTGCTGTAGAAGAAGAGACAATGACTGCAATTCAAGATGTCTAAACGATGAAAGAAATTGCGTAGATTGCAGTAGAAGAGACAATTCGTGTTGTGGCAATAAGGAGTGCAATTCAAGATGTCCAAGAGTTTGTGAAGATTGCAGTAGAAGAGACGATTTATGCTGTGTTAATGAAAACTGTGATCCAAAGTGCCCAGATAATTGTGAAGATGATAATCCTAGTCCCAATTATTCAACTACTCCTAGTCCAAATTATCCAACTATTCCTAATCCTCCAACAACTCCTTCTGCACCATATCCATATCCTCCAACAACTCCTTTTGCACCATATCCATCATATCCTCCATGGCCTATTATACCACAATCAAACACCTCACACTATTCCAACAACACCAGCATAAACCGCAACAATAATACAATTACAATACCTACAAACATAAATATACAAAATGAAGTCAAAAGCGACACTCGCATAACCATTCCTGTAAGCATTAAAGTGGACACATTTAATACAATTAATATTAAACAAGAAGAATTTACAAGAACTAGTAATACTACTAGTAACAATAAATGCGATAATAACACAATTATTATTAACGAAAATACAAATTGCACCGAACAAGAAGCTGTAACAGTTCCAGTACCCATATACCGTCCAATACCAGTACCATACATAATAACAGTTCCTAGACCACTTCCAGTACCACAAGGTTGTTGCCAAGTTGTAAGTCCGTGTTCTCCATACAATTATGGAGGCTGTCAACGTTCATCTACTCAATGTTCTCAAGATTGTTCAGAGTCTCACGTTTATCAGCCAAGTGATGTTTGTGGTACCGGGTGCTACAGGCGCAGTACCGCAATGGGTGGTTATTGCGGATATGGAGGGTGCTACAGAAGACAGGTGGATTGTGGTACTTGCGATAGAAGATTTTTTGAGGATTATGAAAGTTTCGTGAGATGTTCCGGGTGTTTTGTGCCCAGGCCTTGGGGAACCGGACAATGATAGGGATTATGTTTTTTATATAAAGTTTATTTATATCTTAGTGAGGCTTGAGATTATTCAATAAATATAATGTGAAATTTAGGGTTTGTAAAAGTTTATTTAGTGCCTAGTATTGAGGAGCTGATTTTCAAAAATGTTTGCATCTTATTGTTTATTAAAATGTGACAGGATGCATTGTTCGTTCAATTCAATTTTGGTAATAGTAGAGCGCTCCTTATAATATATTTTGACTTTTGTGGGCGCGTCGGAGTTACAAGCTGAAATTTTCACAGAATGAAGGTTTTATTATGTTAATTCAAAATCCCAAGGTAATACAAAATCAGAACGGGCAAAAGGATACTATATTTTAAAATTGAGATTATTGCATGAACGTATAAAATATAGTAATCTATGACTGCGTTTTCATACATTTCGTAATGGTAGATTAATCGAAAGAGCGGGTCAAAATTAGTGGAAAACAAAGCTGATTTAAATACCAAATAGCCATTTTAAGCAGACACAAAAATAAAAAAAAAAATCTATTTCTGGCTCTGAAAATTTTCAAAATCTTGTATGTATGTATGCAGTGGCGGCTCGTGACAATCATGTGAGGGGGGGCTCAGACAAAAATGTTTAAAAATTTGTCATCATAAAGTAAGTCTCTAAATATAAATTTTAAGGTCAAAATTTTAGGGGCAACATGAGTACTAGGGTACTAGCCAGTTTTTGACACATATCCACGAATTTTTATTGTATATTTCTTTGTCAAACTTTCGCGAAAACTGTAGGTCCGTGAAGTTGGCCCCTAAAGTGTTAAATTTTATTTGGAAAAATATGTTGTTTGTTAGTGCTTCGTTAGTGCTTCTTAGTGCTTCAAATAGTTTCGAAAGTGCTTTTCTTATTTCTTAGATATTTTAGATTTTCACTTCAAGGTCAGCCCCCAAAAATTTTCCGAATTACCCAATTTTGGTGTCAGTTTTTAGTTCTTCGTTAGTGCTTCTCAGTGCTTCAAACAGTTGCATTCGAGAATATTTCCTTTTTGAGATATTTAACTTTAAATTTTCAAGGTCAGCCCTCAAATTATATGGGATTGAGTTAAATCTAGAGTCGTTTTTTCCTAATTACCCAATTTTGGTGTCAGTTCTTTGCGCATCGTTAGTGCTTTCTAGTGCTTTATATAACTTTCTTAATGCTCTTTCCGTATTCTGATTATTTAGTATTTTTTATTTTAAAATTAGCACCCAAACTTATTCCAAATGTACAAAAAACACAGGAACGCCACTGAAGCCAACATCGGTTCATAGCAAGGATGATACACCAAATCACCAGTTGTGACGTAGGCATGTCCTTTCTCGGATGGACGTAGGCCTTTTGCACTACAGGTTATGATTCCGCGGGCTTTGGCTTCATGCATACTTGGTTTTATTCACGGTTTTACTACATTAATAATTACCATTCTAAAACAACCCTTTATTTAGATCTCGTTTTCATCTTCCTCTTTGCCTATTATATTGATTAATATTAAACAATATTTTTTTAACATAAATTTGAATTATTCTAAGCTACGACCTCCAGTGCGTGAGTTTTCGGCGTAAATTGCCATAAGTAGCTCCATTTCTCTTTCGGAGCTCCCCTACTTATGTTGTCTGCAGTCAAAAGCTGTGCCAGAATATAACCCAGGGCTGGGATCACGACAAGTAGAATTCTACTAGAATTCTACTTTCATGACGTCAGCTTGCCTAGTAACTATCATCATCGCCTGTACTGTACGCGATAAATAGGTCACGAGTGACGTCATGAAAGTAGAATTCTACACGTCGTGATCCCAGCCCAGGGGCCTTATTCTGTAAAGAACGAGCCGTTCGATTCGGTAGAATTTCTTCGATTGTGACGTCATTCTCGGTATTTTCGGAATGGCTTCCGCGCTAGCAAACCGAAAATGACGTCACAATCGAAGAAATTCTACCGAATCGAACGGTTCGTTTTTACAGAATAAGGCCCCAGGAGTCGTATTATATATCGAATATGACACAGGTATCAAATTTACTGATACTGACTTACTGATAGTTAAAAATATGCCATTTTCCAACTTGTAAAGTGCGGTTCCTCGTTGGGCGCTATTTAATGACAGAGCCATTCTGTTTAAAACAAAGGCGAGTTACCCCGGAGTGAGATGCTCCGGTGCTAAAAAAGCGCCTGTCAAAACTGCGTCTGAACGAACCAAATAGCGCCAGCTAAAACAGTGACCAATTAAAATAGACCTTTCCAAAACAACTAAATAACCATAAAAGAGAGAGATAGAGAGCGCACCGGCACCTTAGATTTCCTCCATACTATAAACCAATGTTGACTCCAATGGCGTCCGAGGTGGCGTCCCTGTATTTTTTGTACATTTTGGAACAAGTTTGGGTGGTAATTTTAAAATAAAATCAGAATACGGAAAGAGCATTAAGAAAACTATCTGAAGCACTGAAAAGCACTTACGATGCGCAAAAAAACGACTCTAGATTTAACTGAATCCCATATAATTTGAGGGCTGACCTTGAAAATTTAAAGTTAAATATCTCAAAAAGGAAATATTCTCGAATGCAACTGTTTAAAGCACTGAGAAGCACTAAAAACTGACACCAAAATTGGGTAATTCGGAAAATTTTTGGGGGCTGACCTTGAAGTGAAAATCTAAAATATCTAAGAAATAAGAAAAGCACTTTCGAAACTATTTGAAGCACTAAGAAGCACTAACGAAGCACTAAAACATAGTAACAAATTCCGTTCATTTTGACAGATTGTCAGGGCTGACCTTGAAACTACAAAAAAATCGATATACAGAAAACGAAAAAAGCACTAACGAAAACAATTGAAGCACTAAGAAGCACTAACGAAGCACTAACAAACAACATATTTTTCCAAAAATATATTTACACTTTAGGGGCCAACTTCACGGACCTGAAAACTGTACCTTATTTTTACATTTTGATTGTATCTTGTACCTGCACAATATTCGATATTGGCAATGGTCGTCCAGTATTTTTCAAGTCAAGTTTGTCGTTTAGACTCACTCAAAGAGGAACACGAGTTTTTGTAATTCACTGACCTTCATATTAGCAAATTGGATTAACCTATCTGTTTATTGGGTGAAAATTATTTTATATCAAAGTTAGTATGTTAAAAAATATATCAGGTGTGGGTTGGCTAGAAAATTCCTGGCCAGACTATTATTAATAGATAATTCAAAAATTATAATTGTCAAAGGCATTGCACTCATTTGTTTAACGATAAGCCTGCCATACGTCCCGTATTATACGGGACAGTCCCTTATTTCAAGGTCCATAGTCCCGCGTCCCCAAATTTGTTATGTCCCATATTCTCTGATATTTTAAAAAGCGTAAAATAATTCGATTCTTGCGCCTCATTCCCAGTCTCTGGTGTGAAATAAAAAAATCGATTTTTGCGCCTCATCTCTAATCTCAACGAATCGTGGTGGTGGTTATTCAACTCGACAGCATTTGACATTTTAGAATTTGGCGAGTTCGGCCCAAGGATAATACGCACCACTAAGGATTGCTTATCGGCCTCGTTTTTGTTAATCGCCGCCATATTGCTGTATCACCATTGCCGACGTCATCAACTAAGCCTTCAGCGATGTCAGCTGTTTGCGCCAGCAGTCGTAGTTTAGAATTTAAACTTATGATGAAAAATCTATCTATATAAAAATTAATGCCTCTTTTCGTTGTAATTTTATAACTCAAGAACGGGCTCACCTAGTCAAACCAAATGTTTAGGCTTTGTTCGGAGTTCGGACTATTTATTAGATGGTTTTATGTGAAGTTTGCACAAAATCGGTCGAGCGGATCTTCATTTATCACATTTTTTGTAATAAATGAATTATTCAATAAATGGAGGATCATTTTGTTAATGGGGATTTTGCTGTCAAATTGAAACTTTTTTCAGCGTTGATAGTACCAGCATGTTGTTATGTCATTAATGTGGTCATTTCATTTATGAATATATATAGATATATTCATATTGTATATATGACGCCATCTATGATAAATGATAGAAACGTTCATTTAGTTTTCGATCCCGAAAAGGCTGGGTACAAATTTGTGAATTAGGCAGTTCGAATCAGCTGGTAATTCAAAAACGAACCCTAAGAAGCTGTGCCCCAAGTAGGTAGAAAGGCCTAAATATAAGTTACATCAAGGTGATTTTCTGCACCTCCGATCAGTTTTTCGTGTGTGCTCCAGAACTGTAAGCAGTTTGAAACATATAGTTCATAAATATTTTTTGATTTTTGATAAAATGCAGAATGCTTATCTACAAAAGTTATTGCTGGAATCTCCTGATGTTGGGAAGAGGTAAAAGTTTGTAGTTCACTTGTATTAAAAGATAATGGGCATATGAAACATGCCTTGCCAATCTTGGCATTTTTGACAAATATAAATTGTGCCAGAGGCAAATGAATGTCAAAAACATAAATTACATGAACCACAACAACGCGAAAAATAAAAATTGCTATCAAAAAACGTTCTCGTTCTCAAACTACTAAAAACACTTTAGAAATTCACAGAAAAATGAAAATAAACAGGGTTAAGGTGAGGTATTAAGCCAATGAACTATAGCTGAAAACTGGAATGCGCACACATTGCCATATCTGCCAAAAAAATGTAGCCATGAAAGACAGATGCCACAAAGGGGAATGTTGTTTTTTTCTGTTGCTCGCTGTCATATGACGTTTTCGAAAGTTTTGTCATATTTCCCTTCACAGGTTTCATCAATTGGAATACGTGTTGGAAGCAATTTTCGCCATTTAACATAATGAGTGCGACAAAAACAGGTATCCCCTCCGCAGCAGCCGCACTAGGCTTCACGTTCGTCCTTATGTGTTAGCATTCCAGTTTTTGGTTATAGTTCATTGTATTAAGCTGTGTAAACAGTCTCTCATGGACGTCAAGGTTAAGTTTGTTATGCCGCAACGCCATCTTGAACGTCAAACATCAAACTGCCTTAAGCCTAGTACTCATAACTGCGAAATTCGCACTTTTTTGACATTGCTTCGACAAATTGACGTTTTATGCGTGAAGCAAACGTCAAATTGTCGA